CACATTGGCATGATAAAAAAAAAATATCCAGTAACAGATGGTGTTTGTACAGTGATAATTTGTAACGATGGAAATAATGTCTTATTTAGGATCAGTGTGAGTTTGAGGAAGTGGCCGTTTACTTCTCCGAGGAGGAGTGGGACTGTCTAAATGAAGATGAGAAGGAGCTTTACCGGGATGTGATGATCGAAAATTACCAGACCCTCCGCTCCCTGGGTAAGAAAATGTCTCCATCCTTATAGAAAAACTTTCATACAGGGAAAACAAAATTATTGTTGGAACTATAAATGTTCGAAAGAGCTAATTTTGATTAGTAATTATCTCCCATATTGAAAACAGGACGGATCGATCTGACCCCTCCAATTATATTGGTACTTGAGCGAGGAGAAGAGCCATATTTGAGGGGAAACCAGCACACTAAGAAGTCACAGAGTCTTGTAAATGTTTTCTCAGGTTAGTAATATACCTGTGGGGGGGCTTTAACTCAGATCAGAAGTCTTAGGAGTTACATTATTTTCCAGACTATTCAAAAGTTGACTTTACCAGAGAAGCATGATTTCAGCACTCAGAGATCTGTGTACACACACACAAAGAAAGGGAATGGGGGGCAGAGAAGGGGTTCTGTGTGTGCATGTCTCAGTGTGTCATTGTGTGTTTGAGTGTTTTTGTGTCAGTGTGTTTGTCAAACGAAGAAGAGTGGGTGCAGTTTGATAGAAATGTGGCAACATATTCACGGGGCTAATATCAACTCCACTCTCTTTCTCCGTGTCTCATTTGATTATTCAAAACAAAGTTATGAAAATAAACATTCCGTAAATAGTACAATGCACAGATAATTTAAAAAGAGAATTTAAGTGTATATAACACATTTATCAACAGGTAGACAATGTGTAGGCAACCAAACTAAAGCGCAGTCCTTCTGAGGAGAGATCCCATTTACCAGTAGCTTGGATTTTAATACTTAAGCAATCATCAGTAGATGTTTTAAGGTATCCAATGAACTTTATTTTGGCCTTTATTTTGTTTGTATTTTTCAGTCTCCTTGAAAAAGAGTTTGATTTGAAAAGAAAACTATATTCCATTTGTAATAGGTCCACTTTGTTAATAAAGTACCATATATACTCGAGTATAAGCCAAGTTTTTCAGCACATTTTTTATGCTGAAAAAGCCCCCCTCAGCTTATGCTCGAGTCAGGGTCTGGTATTATGGCAACTTACAGGCATAAAAGGGGTTAAACGCCGTTTAGAGGATATTGCCTTCCAGATACACAGGCAGCTACTGAAGACACCAATCTCCCAAATAGGAAACCATACGAATGCTGTAAACAGCCGAACAGGAAAAAACATACAAAAGGTTTACACTCCTAGCAGTCTAACTGGAACAGCATACAATAAATCCCCCCAAGAACGAGACAAGGCTCCATGTTGAGGGTCAAGCAGTGATCTGTTTAATCTGGGCTACCTGCCCGGTATTTATGCAGGTCTTCCACCTGGTGGACACTCCCCTGGAGTACCTGGTGGAAGATTGGGACACAAATGATAAAATGACCAATCACAGGCATACAGGGTTAAAACACTCCTACAGTACATTACAATCCTTCCCCTCTATCCTGGAGATAATTAGGGCAAAACTCCATTGAGCACATGTTAGTAAAAAGACACAAAAATACACAATGTTGCAAATAATGAATAAAACATATACATTCTACCTATCCCCAGATAGCTTAGGTCTGAGCGCACATTATTACCGAATGGCGCTCAGATCACATACATACAGTTCAATCGCCATGGAGCCAAAGTCTTTCCCATAGTCTTTCATTACACAAATGGGCACCATAGCTTAGCTATCTGGGGTAGCACTATTCACATGTACAAAGTGCCGAATGACCTGGTGTCCGTGTAATTACAAGAGAAGGGAGGTCGGCGGCTCAGCGGTGTTCGTGAGTTTAACTGTCCGTTTCGAGTTCCACAGTTTTGGAGCTGAACACCACTGGCCGTTCAGGAGGTTAAGATGGCCGCTACCACGTGTTCGTTAACCGCAGCTCCTGGGAGGTAAATCACCGGCACACTCCTTGCCCAGGTGGTCCCTCCATTCGTGCATTGGTTCGGTAGATTTAATCTACCGAACGCCCAGGCAGAAAGGCACGAATAAGCTTTTCTGCAGGGAAAATAAACGGTTTTAAATGTGGGGCCATAATCCAGAGGGAGCAGGCGAGCAACCAGGCTTCTCCAATGCCCAGTGGTGAGGTTGGTTTCGCCACAGGGCCACCCGATGGATACGGATTGTCTGGGGGCCCGGTCAGCGCCCCCTGTGATGAGGTCATAACTGCTGGGAGGAAGTGACTGCACATCACTCCTCCCAGCTATCACTGAGCCCGCGTGGGAGGAAGAAAAGGAGTCAGACTCCCATCAACCTGAGTCACCTTCTTGAATCTAAAAGGTAGGTAACAGGAGAGTGACTTAAATATTATATATATTTAATATTAAATAATATATGTGTGTGTGTTTGTATGTATGTGTCTATCTGTCTGTAATATGTATGTGTGCCTGTCTGTTTTTATGTGTCTTTGTATGTATGGCTTGTGTGTGTCTATATGTGTCTTTGTATGTATGTGTGTCTTGTGTGTGTGTGCCTGTCTGTCTGTTTGTATGTGTGTCTTGTCTGTATTTATGTGTGTCTCTGTATGTATGTGTGTGTGTGTGTGTCTGTCGGGGGGTAAGAAGGAGGGGCCCATGGGTTATGTGTACGCCACTGGTCCCACTTACCTGTTATCCGGTGCAGTGCGGGTGTTCTCCAGTCTCTCCCGCTCATCTGCGGGCGCCTGCAGCCTCTGTGGGGGGTCCAATGACTGTTGATATCACCGCTCCTCTTTTCTCCTGCACGCCAGCCATAACGCAGCGCATGCCATAACACAGTGCACACACAATGCAGCGTGAATATTATGAGTATATTATGAGCCCAAACACAGGCCTCTCTATGCAAACAGTCATGTCATCACATTCTGGAATATGATCAACCTGCGTTAGGGCTCAAACTATACAAGCTGTGTTGTGTACATGCGGTAAGGCAGCGTATGTAGTAATGCAGTGCATGCAGTAACACAGCGTGTATAGTATGAGCCCCAACACAGGCTGCTCTATGCAAACATAGTCGGCATTCTTTTTCAAAGTCTTTTTTTTTTATCCTCTTAGAAATGGATCCCAATACTTCTAATCCTTCTAATCCCGGACCAAAACAAAAACGCAGGTCATACGATGCTGGTTTCAAACTTAAGGTTGTGTCAAGAGCAGAAGAAAGCAATAACAGTATTGCAAGTAGGGAATTTTGTGTTGGCGAAAAACAAGTGAGGGAGTGGCGGAAAATGAAAGCTGACTTGGAAAAGATTCCAAAGGCAAAAAAAGCTCGACGTGGTTTAACGACTTCATATGGGGCTCTAGAGACTGAATTGCATAAATGGGTTATGGAGTGTCGTCAAAATGGTTACTGCGTAACACGAATGGAAATTCGCTTACGTGCCCTTCAAATGGCTAAAGATGACAAATTAAAAGCACCAGGCATTGAAAATTTCGGTGCGTCAGCAGGATGGTGTACCCGCTTCATGAATAGGTTTGCCCTATGTTTGTGGCAAAAAACAAAGATTTCACAGAAGTTGCCAAAAGACCTTGATGAAAAATTGATGTCATTCCATTCATTCATCATAAAACAAAGAAGGATCCATAACTATGACCTGGGAGATATTGGGAATATGGATGAAACACCTATGACCTTTGATCTTCCAAGCAACAGAACTGTGGCAAGTTTGGGAGACAAAACTATTTTACTCAGAACCACAGGAAATGAAAAAAAACATTTCACAGTTGTTCTGTCATGTTTGGCTAATGGAACTAAGCTACGGCCTGTCATTATTTTTAAAAGAAAGACCTTGCCTAAAAAGGTCAAATTTCCACCAC